CTATCCCTGACACACCTGGACAACTTCTCTTCTTTTTTTTTTTTTTTTTTTTTATTTTTTTTTGTGTGAGTGTGCATGTGTGTGCACCGGACAGAGGTGGATGTCAGGTGTCTCCCTATATTGCTATATTGCTCTCCACTGTAGTTTTTGACACGTTCAGTCTCTTACTAAACACGGGGCTCATTTATTCAGCTACCCTGCCAGACCAACTCCTGTATCTTCCTGCATCTGCCTCCCCAGTGCCGAGATTATAGGCCCCAACTGACACACCCAGCTTTTTACAAGGTTGCTGGAGATCCGATCTCAGATCCTCATGCTTGCTCTGCAAGTCAACTACTTTACATAGTCCAATGATGTAAGTTTTCTAACTGTTCGCTGGCTTTGTCATTAGGATCAATATCAGAGCCCAGGCCTTTTAGTCACTGGGCTGGATCAGGGTTTGTGAGGCTTCATCCCTGTCCCAACCCTAACCCATAGAGCATAGGCCAAACCCAGAGTGAGGTACAAGGTAGGGCATTCATCTCCAAACAGAATAAAGGAGAGTCCAGTCGGGTGATGGCCCTCCCGGGACCTTCAACCTTCTCCAAAAGAAAATGCGAGAGTGGAAAAAGGAAGAATGTTGTCAAGAGTGCCGGGCTGAAGACAAGAAGTGGGTTAGCGGGAGTGTCCACGCTCGTTCAGTTTTCTAGGTCAGCACAAAACGCGACGAGATCAAGGAGGGAGTAGGGAGGGGACGCGGGGGCAGGGACACTCACTCGGCGTAGCCTGCGCTCCAAGGCAGCGTGCGGCCCCGCGCCGGACTGCGCACGGGTCGGGAATCCGGGCGGCGGGAGGCGTCGGAGGCGCTAGGGCTGGAGCCCGAGCCGCGCAGGAAGCGAGGCCGGTGATAGGGCACCGGGCTGGAGCGCGGCCCCGCTGGCCGCGGCTCGGGAAGTGGACCCCCGGGTAGGAAGCGGCGCCGGAACCAGCCGGCGGACATTGCTTGGTGGCCCGGGGCTACCCGCACAGAGCGGGACGCCCGGGTCCCGCCCGGCCCAGAGAGGAAGCGGGACTGGGGGGTGGAACCTTAGAGGCCACGCCTCCTCCTGGTCCTCCCGCCCCAGGGTGTGCGGTCAGTGAACGCGGCCATCACCTGTAAAAAGGGAACGCAGTCACCCACCCCATTTTACAGACAGGAAAACTGAGGCCTAGCTAGCGAAGTGAGGCCGCCTGCCTGCGTCAGAATGGCACTGAGCAGGGGCGAAGGCGCATCCGCACCTGTGGGACTCGATCCTCTGAAGGGGGAAACCCTTCCCTCTACTCTGGGAACTGTGAAGTCATCTACAGTGGGTGATGGGCGAGCCTCAACCTCGCGCTGCTGGAGCGCTAGCCACCCTCTTACGCAAGGGGAGGAAGAGGACAGTATGTCCTTGGAGGTGTGAGATGACACATTGACTAAGAGCATGCCCAGAGTGCTCCAGAGTTCTATTCACCCTGGTCTTCAGCCTCAGCGGCCCACTCCCAGATGGCTGCCCCTACAGTCAAGATGGCTTCTCTGTCTGCACAAGATTGTCCCTGGAGTGTGAGCGACAAGAGGAACCTATGGGAATTTAAAGGAGAACGTAGTTCCTTTCTCCAGCTTGTTAAAGGTGTAACCTTGAACTGAGGGAAGTCTAAGAATTTCTCTGATATCTCTGCTGTTGTTTGAGGCAGGAGTTCACCATATAGCCCAGGCTAGCCTGGAACTTGCTGGCCTCAAACTCTGCCTCCTGCCTCTGCCTTCCAAGTACTACAGTTACAGGCAAGTGCCGTCATCACTCTGACTCAGAGTGTCTAACCTCCGGACAGCGGTCACTGTTGGGGGCTAGCAGCAGTGTTACCCTTTATGTCCTCACATGAACAGAGCACTTGTCACTTTCTGCCTAAGTCCTGGTGCCCCTCTGCAAGGCTGCAATTTCCATTTCATAAGGGAGGACTCAGGCCCACAGAGGGGAAGTATTAGCTACCTAGGGTTTGCAATATGACGATGCAGCTGAGTCAGACCACCCCTCAGGGAATTTCTCTTCCTCTTTTCTCCTCCAGGAAGCCAATTCAAAATCTCCAAGGCCCAAGGATGGATGGATGGATGGATGAGGCTTTCCTTGCCTTTGCCTCTGTTCCATACCCAGGCCAACACTCAGTAGACCTCACTGTTCTCGGTTTACCAGCCCTGCTCTGCTGGCATTTCTGCTTGCCCAAGGAGGATTCTTAGGAAACAGAGCTGCACCCCAGTCACCTAGTGAGCCCACCCAGTAACAGTCACACACTGGGCCCTGAAGTGATAGGACAGTTCTGCTAGCTTGTACCTGACCCAGGTATGAGAACGGGGAAAGTCTGAGAAAGTTACAGCCAGACACTCCCCCACACACCTCACCCCTCTGCTTCCAAAGAGAGAGGGGGGGGGGATAAATACATGATTTGATTTCGATTTAGTACATTCGGTTTGCCTTAGTTTCTTTAGTTCTTGCTATAACAAAGTATCTGTAAAAAGCAACTATGGGAAGAACTTGTTTAGTCCATTGGTAAGGGGTGTTGAGTGAGCTGGTAAGGCAGAGCAGTAAGGAACGCAAGGTGACTGACTGACTGGTCAGTGTGTCTGGCCAGGAAGAGGCGACTCTTCTCTAGTTATTTAGGCCCCAGTGCACAGGATGCTGCCCAATTCAGTTCCGGTCTTCCCTCCTCTTCTGGAAATGTCCTCAACAAGCTCAAAGATTCTGCTCCTAAGTAATTTCACACTCCAGATCTGTCATCACACTGTTTTACACAAGCTCCCATAGCCTATCTTGTGATCCTGACCGTCACAATTCTTACCAAAGTTTTAAAGTTTTTGCCTATAGGTAAATAAAATTCCAAATACAGTTCAGTTTTCATTTATTTTACTTTTTTTCTGACCCCTCACTTGTTTGTTGACATAGTTCCATATAGCCCAGGCTGGCCAGGAATTCACTATATAGCCCAGGATAATCTCGAACCTTTTACTTTTTCTTTCCATTTATTTATTTGTTTTTGAGGCAGAATCTAACCACATGTAGCCCTGGCTGCCCTGGAACACATTGTGTATACCAGGATAACCTTGAATTCCCAGGGATACTTTTACCTCCCTAGTGCTGGGATTAAGGCTGTCTGCCACCACACCTGGGTTTATGTAGCGCTGGAGATGGAACGGAGACTTCATGCATGTTAGAAAAGCACTATAGTGGCTGAGCCGTATCCCAGATCTAGGATGCTGTTTTAACTAATTAGCTATTGCTTGTGTTTCCCCATAGATTGTCGTTTCTTTTTTATTGTGTGTGTGTGTGTGTGTGTGTGTGTGTGTGTGTGTGTGTGTGTGTTGTGGTGTACATGTATATGGTGTGCACATGTGGATTTGGGTGCAATGTGAAAACTAGCGGTGGACATCAGCCATTTGTCTCTATTACTCTCCATCGTATTTATTTATGTTAGATTCTCTCACTAAACTTGGTGCTCTACACTTAGCTGGGTGAGCTAGCAAATGAGTTCCAGGTAGGTACTGGCCTGTCGCCTTCAACTCCCTCTCCCTTTTGCAGTCCCCATGGTCTCCCTTCCCAGCCTAGGGGGTAAAACCAAGTTTCTTCACTCTGGTGCTGGAACTCTGCTCTTATATGCTTGCACAGCACTTTACTGACCGAGCAAGCTCTCCAGTTCCAAACTATTATTATTTTTTTTTTAATTAAAAAAATTTTTTTATTTAACTCTATTTTATGGACTTCAGTGTTTTTCCATAGGTGTCAAGTCCCCTGGCACTAGAGTTCCAGGCAGTTGTGAGCTGCCATTTGAGTGCTGGGAATTGAACACAAGTCCTCTGGAAGAGCAGCTGGAGCCACTGAGCCATCTCTCCAGCCCCCCACCCCCGCCCCTTTTAAAGTTTTTATTTATTTCGCTTTTAAACATTTTTTGTGTCTGAGTGTTTTGCCAGCATGCATCTCTGTGCAGCACATCTGTCCTAGTCCTAGGAGGACAGAGGAGCTGGAGTTACGGACAGTTGTGAGCTGTTATGTCATGTGGGTGTTGGGTGCCAAATGGGTCCTATGCAAGAGCAGCAGCTGCAAGTGCTCTTAAGCGCTGAGCCATCTATCCAGTTACATTTATCTATTTTTAAATAACAAGCTTCAGGACTGGAGAGATGGTTCGGTGATTAAGAGTACTAGACACTGGGGCTGGAGAGACCGATCACCAGCAGTCCAGAGGTCCTGAGTTCAATTCTCAGCAACCACATGGTGGTTCACAAACATCTCTAGCGGAATCTGATGCCCTCTTTTGGCATAAAGTCATACATAATAAATAAATCTTTATTTTAAAAAATTAAGATGATTAGCTGCTAAATGACTACTTACTAACAGCAGAAAAGGCCTCTGATAATGGAGACCAGTTCATTCGGAACCGGAAAGTTTCTCAGACTAAGTTCCGGTACTTAGAACCACTGGGCCTCAGCATATGCATCTACTTTTTGGAAAACTTTCCTCCACTCTACTAGGTCACTCCAGTCTCTCCTACCACATTCCGTCCAAAATGTACCTCCTCCTACGGCCCCTTTCTCAGCGTGTGGCTCCAGCCACCACATACTCCGTGCACCTGATGACCGGTAGGCTTCCTTCCACTTGTGAAGAAAGGCCTGAGAATCAAAACCATTGCCCCCCCGCAACACACACACACGCACACACACGCGCGCGCGTGGCCGCATACGCAGAGATCCCCTCACGTGTCACAAACTGGGTACCCTTGGATCAGCCCCCACTCTCAAACCTCCTCGGAACACACAGTCCGCCCCACGCTCAGGAGCGGATGCGCCCACAGGCCTCCTGGCTTGCGTCCTACCAGCGCCCGCCCACACACCGGTGCCTCGTGCACCCGTAGGCCCCTTCTGTGCCATCTAGGTGGTAGCTGCGCGGAACCCGGCCATCGGGACCCGGGTCCCCCGCTCCGCGCACGCGCCGCACTAGTGCCCGCCTCTGCCGGCCTCGCCCTCCGGGGGTGGGGCGTGCTGGGGGCGGGTCCTGCGGCACCGCCCGGGAAGCTGCACGAAGCTCGGCGCTGCCGCCACATCCTCCGGAGCTCTGGGTTCAGGCGAGCCGAGTCGAGCTGGGCCAGGACCAAGCGGAGCGCTCAAACGGCACGAGCGAGCCGAACGCTGAGCCATGGCGCACCAGACCGGCATCCATGGTGAGGGCGGATGGAGGGCGGAGAGGGGGCCCTAGGGCTCTGCCAAGCCTGAGCTGCGCGCTTGGTCCCTTCATCCTCCTCTTCCTCGTACCCTCTAGGGAAGCTTCCTGTTCTGTGCAGCCGCGAGTCCCTAGCATGGACACTTCTTGGGGGAATACAGACTACTGTACATAGCCGGGAATAGGTGCACATGGATGCACACAGCAGGGTGGAAGTATCTTGTGTACTCATCTGGGGGCGGATGTGCCTGTGTGTACCCGTCTGGGTAATTTTGTTCTTTTCTGGAGGTGGGGGTGTACCCGGATGTGCACATCTGGAAAAGTGTACACGCATGTCCTCTGTATACAGTCCTGTGTGTGCACGTCTGGATGCGACTTGGTTATGCCTATCCAGGCTCCTTCATGTGCATGCACTAGTGGCTGGTCTTGGACACTGTAGGTGGCATGGACCATCTCAGACATCAGTGTTTCCTGGCAGCATGCACACATCTATGGGTGTCTGCATGTGTGCACAGTTCAGGCACATCTCAGTGTGTGTGTGTGTGTGTGTGTGTGTGTGTCACCATGGATGCTTGCACGGGTGTCTTATGACTGACATGGGCTTGTATATATGTGTGGAGAGGGTATCCTGACCTTTACTCCTTCCAGGATCCCCCATAATTTTGCACTAGCCTGGACCAAAGCTGGCATAGCTCCTTCTTAAATAGAATGGGGAGAGTTGCACATCTGACCTTGGCCTCTGACTTCTGTTTTCCACTGTGACCTCTTTCTTGCTCCAGCCAGGCCGGCAAAAGTCCCAACTTAAGCTGGAAGCAGGGAAGAGGGTCAGGATTCAGGCTTTCTAGGAGAGCTCCTGACTCCACCCTCATCTACAGGAAGCTTCTACAGCCCAGTAGGTCACACCCACAGGTCCTCTCCAGGGTCTCAGTTTCCTCCTTAGACTGAGATGGAAGCAGTAGCTGGGAGCCAGGTGTTTTAGCCCTACCTGGTCTCACTGTCCCCATCCATTACTGCCTTGGAAGGGCTGCTTCCCTGGCCAGTAGGGAAGGCCAGGCTCTTGCCTAGACAGCTTGTTGGTTTGGCCACCAGCCACTCTTGTCACCACATCGTGATCTCCTGCCCAGGGCTACCACCATCGACCTGCCTGACCGCCTGAATCCCTGCTTGTGGTTGTGGCTAATAGGTGATGGGATAGCCCTCAGAGTCTAACCCCCGGCCCCACCCCATCCCCATCCTGCTTGTCATGAGCATGTAGGGACCTAGATCTGGCCTGGCTTACCACAGGTGGGCCATCCTCTCCTGAAGATGAAAAGCCAGGTTTCCTGAGTCAGCCTCAAAGTGGGGAACTGTCGGGGGAAGTTGTTGCCTGGCCTGCCCCTTCCTTCCTCTTTGTCTGGTCTGAGCTGCTGCCTCCAACTGAGAGGAGCTGCTAGGAAGTTAGCACCCACACACACTGCTGGCAGAGCCTGTTGGTGGGCTCGGCCCTAATCCCTCATCCCCCATGCAGTGAGACAGGCCTGCCTAGGGGACCTTCCCCCTGTCCTGCCTATGAGGGTACACACCTTCCTGTTTGGGACCTTCTGGAGATAGCAAGAAAGACCACTCTGGAGGATCAGGTGCCAGCCTTGGCCTGGCCATAGGAGTAGGGCCTGCTGACCTCAGAATGGGGCCCCGAGGAGGAATGTAACCTGAAGCCTGCTGAAGTTGGAGGTGGGCAAGGTGGGGGCCGGGAGGCATGAATCTTTGATGACAGAGGCTCAGGTGTCCCAGGTCTGGCCTCTAGATTATTGATGGTGACTGGCGAGGCATTGGGGTGGTGTAGGAAGGGATGTCACTTTCCCGGCTGGCTTTTTAGTTTGCTCTGGTAACAGTAGAAGGGGCTTGTCAGCCTCCCTCTGGGGAGCTTCTTGGCCTCTCTTTCAAGGTCTAGGCAGGCAGGAAGGAAGACAGGAACACACACACACACACACACAGCCACCATTAGATCAAAAAATATATATATATTAGCAGAAGTCCTGCTCCTTGGCACCTTCTCCCATGGACTCCTTACCACAAACCTTTGAGTTTGAGGGAATTGGCTCTGTTTGTAGATGAAGTTGAGGTTCAGAGAGGTCAGGGGTCACACAGCAAAGACGGAGCTGGGGCTCTGAAGATCAGGCCTAAAGCTTCAAGCATTTGCTGAAAGTTATTAGTTGAGCATGACACTGGGGCTGTGTCCCCTTGTGTACAGTACCAAGCCATGCTTCTCTGTCCCCAGAGCTAGACCCCCAGTCACACAGTGACCTTCAGGGCTAGTATACAACCTGAGGTGCCGGGGTAAGGTCACTCTGCAGGGAAAGGGGGAGCCCTGAGGACATGACTGGGTTTGTTTACCTAAAGCCCCTCCACCCTGCCCCTAAGCTGCCCATCAGCTGCCCAAGCCAAGGCCTATAATTATTCAGTGACCTCAACTCTCCAGCTGTGTTCCTGGCCCCTGGCAGCCCCAAGGTCACACTCACTCACTCCGAGACCCAAACAGGTCCCTTACACACTTGGCCTGTGTTTTCCCTCTCTACTACAGTAGCGGAGCTGAGATGACTCAGGTCCTCTATCCCTGACCATGGTCCTCACCTTGGCACCGTGTCCTTGTTCATTAATGACTTCCAGCTCTGCTGCCTAACTTCCAAGATGGAATCTCCTTTCTAGGTACCACTCCTCCAGGGAGCCTTCCTACTGCCTAGGAGCTGGGGCTTTATTGCCCCTTGATAGGGTTGTGTTGGGGCTGGAGGCCCCTCTTTTGGTACAAACTGGCTGGGGGCTTGGACTGCAAGTGCACCCATGTGTCATACACACCTATATTGATGTATTTTGTCTATTTTTGTCTATCACCCGGTATAGACATGCTGTAGCTGTGTCTGTTGCCTGTGTGTGTTGGCAATCTGGGAGTGTGTGTGCGTGTTTGAATCTCTAAATGAGTGTGTCCACTTACATTGACCAATGTCAGGGGACAAGTGGGTGCCCTTCATTCTGGCCAGCTTGACTTGGCTTAGACCCTGTTCCATCTTCAAGTGGACTGTCTCATTCCTGCCTGCCCTTCCTGTCATCAGAGCTATCCCAGCCAGCAGGCCATCTGCCTGCCACTCCTGCTAGCTAAATTTGGGTGCTTATGTTCAGTGGCCATCTCAGGTTCCCAGTCACATGGAGGGAAACCATATTTAACCCACTTCCCAGCCTAGCCATCAGACCCCACGGGACACCAGCAGACCCAAACTCATCCCTATCCATTGTGCCTGTTCACCAACAACTATGTTTCTCGTGCTTGTAGCCACTGAAGAGCTAAAGGAATTCTTTGCCAAGGCCCGGGCTGGCTCCATCCGACTCATCAAAGTCATCATCGAGGACGGTGAGTGTCTCCACAGGCTGGAGTAGGGATGGAAGCTGAATCCATTTGTTTCCGGGGATAGAAATGATGGGTGAGCTGGGTGGTGGTGGTGCATGCCTTTAATTCCAGCACTAGGGTGACAGAGGCAGGTGAATCTCTGTGAGTTTGAGACCAGCCTGGTCTACAGGGCTAGTTTCAGGACAGGCTCCAAAGCAATACAAGGAAACCCTGTTTTGAACAACCACAAAAAAAAAAAAAAAAAAAAAAAAAAAAGAAAAGAAAAAGAAAGAAGGAAGAAAGAAAGAAAGAAAGATGACTGTTAGCTTCCAGCCCCCTTTAGATCTCAGTTTCTCCATCTGAGACTGGGATAAGGCCACTCACAGAGGAGCCTCATGGGAGTCCTACAGGTGGGGGTAATGGTCACTCTGTTGTGCAGAGCTCTGTATTGTGGTCGTGTCAGGCCTCAGTACCTAACGGCCGTGGCCGTTAGGTGTGGCTGTTGAAATGGGCCTTGTCAGAGTACTGGACTATGTAGGTGTCAGGGGCCCAGTGAGCCCGGCTGTATGTTGTGTGCGCATCCATGCCTGTGTGTATGTGCATGTTTGTGCATGCATGCCTGTGTGTGTGGTCAGCAGGCTGGACCTGGCTTGGCTGCTGGCTGTAGGAGGACTAAGATGCCAAGGACCTTCCCCAGAATGGGAAGAAAGAACTCACTTAGGTCTTACTCATTCTGAAAACAGGATAGAGTAACTCTGTACTTGAGAGATCCTTGAGCAGACCCAGGCTGCTTAGCAGGCAGTCAGGGCTGTGAGGGTGTGGGGCTTGAGCCTGAGCTTGATGTGAAAGTATGAGGATGGCACAGGGCCCATCTGTGTCTTTCCCTTGAGTGCCAAACGACTTCTCTGCAGGGAAGGTCCAGATTCTGGGTGTGGGTGTGGACCAGACCCTCCAAGGGCCCTTCTGGCCTTCTCTGTTGTCATACTGTCGTGAGCCCTTTGTCCATGGGCACCCTGAATGCCCTACTCACCTTAGCAGGGCTTACCAGACCCAGAATTCATCTCAGGCTGTAGGGCCACAGCTAGGCTGGACTTTGTCCAGATGCCCTCAGAGACTGGGTAGGGGTCATGGTAAGTAGTTGAGGCCTCCTTGGGGCTTCCCACCCTTAAAGAGACAGTTGATTTCGTTGACCCCCACTTCAGCCCTGTCCCTTAACTTCCCAGGTAAGATGTCACTATGGTGGTTCCCATAAGCATAAGGACCCTGTAGGTAGAGTCTTATCCTAATTCTGCCTTCCAAGTGTTGGGTACCTGGGAGTGAGTGTCTGGCGTAGGGGCTTACATTCTAGTTGAGTATGGTTGGAGCACCTGACTTTTCTACAGACACTAAATTATTGTTGGGTTTTTTTTTTTTTTTTTTTTTTTTTTGGTTTGGATTTTTGTTTGTTTGGTTTTTTGGTTTTCCAAAACAGGCTTTCTCTGTGTTGCCTTGGCTGTCCTGGAACTCTCTCTGTAGACCAGTCTGGCCTTGAACTCACAGAGATCTGCCTGCCTCTGCCCTCTGGGTGCTGGAATTAAAAGTGTGTGCCACCACTCTGGTTTGTTTTTTTGTGTTTTTTTTTTAAACAAAACAACAACAAAAGCCTGTCTGTGTCTGTGTGTATGCAGTACTCATGGAAGCCTGAAGAGGGCATCTGATCTGCTGGGGCTGGAGTCACAGCAGCTTTGAGCTGCCTTGTGGGTGTGGGAATCAAAGCCGGTCCTCTGGAAGAGCAGCCAGTGCTTTCAGCTGAGCCATCTCTCTAGCCCCAAATTACATGTCTTCTGCCAAATTCCTGGTGTAACCTGGCATGATGGCATATGCCTGTAACCTCAGCACTTGAGAGGGCTGAGACTGGAGGAACTGAGTTTGAAACCAGCCTGGACTATATATATTAACTTGTCTCCACATATATAAATGAAGCCTTGGGAGGAAGAGAATCAGGAGTTCAGGGTCATGTTTGGCTATAAGTGAGTTGGAAGCCAGCCTACGTGAATCCTGATCTAAAGACACCACAAACAAATACATAATTCTGGTTTATTTTTAAATTTACATTGTGTGTGTGTGTGTACGTGTGTGTGCATGTGCACTGTGTGTGTGTTTATCGGAGTACAACTTTGACCATATGGATCCCAGAGATTGAACTCAGGTCATCGAGCTCGAGCTTGGTGAGAAGTACCTTTACCCTCTGAGTTATCTCACCTGTCCAAACATTCTGGCTTAGAAATGTGAACAAGTGTCTGGAGAGATGGTTCAGCAGTTATGAGCACTCATTGCCCTTGCTAAAGACTTGAGATTCGGTTCCTAGTATCAACATAGTCGTACACAGCCATCTGTAACTTCAGTTCCAGGGGATCAAACACCTTCTTCTGACCTCTGTGGATACCAGGCACACACATGATACATATACATAAATCTAGGCCAAACACTCATAAAATACGTAAATAAAAACTTAAAAAATAAGAACAAAGTAAATAATACTGACTGTGTTTGGTCCCCTTCCCCAACCTTACCAGCCTATAGCTGCTAACTTCTTCCTTCCTTCCTCCCTCCCTTCCTTCCTACCTTCCTCCCTCCCCTTATTTTTCTCTAAGATAGGGTTTCTCTATGTTGCTCTGACTGTCCTGGAACTCACTATGCAGTCCAGGCTGGCCTCAGACTCACAGAGATCTGCCTGCCTCTACCTTCCAAGTGCTGAGATTAAAGGCATGTGCCACCACCACCCGGCTTTAGCTGCTAACTTTCAACCCTGATTCCCATTTGAGCCCTGGGTGGGCAGACAAGGAGGCCAGGGCCTGTAGAGATAGTTAGACTGATGGCCTTGTGTGTTGGATTCTTAGGCAGCTGGACTCTTGACCCTATCCAAAACACCTGATAGCATCTGGTGAAGTGTGAGCATGGCCAGCTAGGATCACCCATGGCCCTTCGTCCTCTGGGTTGGCCTGTGTGACCAAGTACATGGTGTCCACATGAGGTCTCAGCCTGAATCTGTGGTTGGATAACCTAATTGGCCAGAGAGGTGGTAGGTACATCAGATCCAGGCTGGCGAGCAAGATGTTGGGTAAAAGTATTTGTGGCACAAGTTCAACCTGAGTTCAGTCCCTGGAACTTGCAATGGGCTGAAAGTAGTCTTCTGACTTCTGCATGCACAATGTGTATACACGTACCCATATTTTCTCTCTCTCCCCCTTCTCTCTCTCTCACACACACACTAATAATAGTAATAATAAATAAAAGGACTAAATCGGTTGTTAGCTACACTTGGTGACACACTCCTGTAGTCCCAACACTTGGAAAGCTGAGGACGGAGGATTAGAAGTTTGAGGCTAGCCTGGGCTATATAGCAAGACTCTGTATCAAAAAGAACCGCAAGCAGAAGCCGGGCATAATGATGCACATATGTAATCATATGCCTTCAAGAGGGTGAAAACCGTAAGTTCAGGGTCAAATGGGGCTATGTAGTGAAACCCTGTCTTAAAAAAAAAAAAAAAATAGTTGGCTGCTATTGGGAGAGGGCAGGAGCTAGGGGTGGCAGCCTGTCCCCTAGCACATTGTCCTGAGAGATATCAGAGGGGTATGTCAGAGCCAGGAGCTGAGGGAGTTGGGAATGCACTGAGCAGCACCGTGTAGGAGTGCCTGGAGGGGACTGCACTGTTGCTGGCAGTGGCCACACAGCTATGTTCCCTTGTGTGTTTATGTGTGCACAAACACATGAGTGTACGTGAATGTCAGCGTTTGCAGGTACGGAGTGGGTGCAGAGGAAGCCACCTGCAGCTAGCACACATGAGCTCGTTCCTTCACTCATTTGTCGCTCAGAATTCAGCTCCACGCTTTGGAGATCTGAGGGTTCGTGAGGAAGTGCGGTCTTTGATGGAAAAGAAAGGTCTGAGATAGCTCAGAAAGCTACATCCAGAGGACGGGGGTCCACAGGCAGAGAGGGAGGTGGGATGTACCACTTCGGCTCACCCGGCCTCTGCCCCCAGAGCAGCTCGTGCTGGGTGCCTCGCAGGAGCCAGTGGGACGCTGGGACCAGGACTACGACCGCGCTGTGCTGCCGCTGCTAGATGCCCAGGAGCCCTGCTACCTCCTCTTCCGCCTTGACTCGCAGAATGCTCAGGGTTTTGAGTGGCTCTTCCTGGCCTGGTCGCCTGATAATTCCCCTGTGAGTTCTAGGCACCGCTGCCCATCTCCCTGCTTGGGGCCAGTGGGAAGTGGAGAGAACAGATGAGAGACTGGCCTGCTGAGGCTAAGGGAAGGAATGTTAGAGTCTGCCCCAAACCCTGTCTGTGCAACCAACCTGACTGAGGGCTGTTTGAGCTGGGTGGAGGCAACCCCTGCTGCTGAAAGCTGCCTAATACAGCTTCGCTGCGCCCCCTGCTGGTCATGTGGGACCAGTGCGATGACCTGATTCCATGCCCTGCCTCCCTCTTCTGGGGTTCCAGTTGGCTCCTGGAGCAGGAGCTTGGCCCATGGGGGCCTCACAGTTTTCCCCCTCTCAGGTGCGGCTGAAGATGTTGTATGCAGCCACGCGAGCCACAGTGAAGAAGGAATTTGGAGGCGGCCACATCAAGGATGAGCTCTTTGGGACAGTAAAGGTTAGTTGCCCAAGCCAGAATGCATGATGGGGACCAGAGAGCGAGAGGCCTTATGTGGCCGTCACAGAACAGCTCAGTACCAGGCTCGGGGACTGAAGCTGGTACAGTGTTTGTCTAGCATGTATGAAACCCTGGATTTGATCCTCAGCTCTTAGGAAGTAGAGACAAGAGGATCGGAAGTTCAAGGTCAGTCGTTGTTAGTTGTGTAGTGAGTGTGAGGCTAACTTGGGTTCTACATAAGATGCTGTCTCAAATAAGAGAAATGGAAGGATGGGGAGTCCAGGAGCTGCAAGCAGAGCTGCGCAGTGGCAGGTTCTGTCTGCCCGCCTGCCTGCCTGCCCGCCTTGGGTCTCCATTTAGACCTCAGAGTCTGCCCCACAGGACGACCTCTCCTTGGCTGGGTACCAGAAACATCTGTCATCCTGTGCCGCACCTGCCCCACTGACTTCGGCCGAGAGAGAACTCCAGCAGATCCGAATCAATGAGGTAGGTGTGTGGGCCGGTGTGTGCTAGAAGCCGCTAAACTTGGTAGGTTGCAACTTGGTGTGGGTAGGTAAGGCTTTGCTTCATGGTTGCCTCACCCCCAGGTGAAGACTGAGATCAGCGTAGAAAGCAAGCACCAGACCCTGCAGGGTTTGGCCTTCCCCCTGCAGCCTGAGGCCCAGCGGGCACTCCAGCAACTCAAGCAGAAGGCGGTCAACTATATCCAGCTGGTGGGTACACAGTGGTATAACATGCCTGCTAAACACAGGCCAGGCACCATGGGCTCCTCCTTTTCCTGGTTATGTGTTTGCAAACAGGCACAGAGCCAGAGCCCCAGCTCCTGAGCTGTACTGCTAATCCATGTTGCCCTTAGACCCAGGGGGCAGCGTGGTTGGTAGAGTGCTTGTCTGGCATCCCACCAGGACTTGGTCCTCAATAGCAGCACACAGAACTGGGGGTGGTGGCACACACTTGTAATCTCAGCCCTCAGGAGGCAGAGGCCGGAGCGTTAGACAGAGCTCAAGGTTAGCTTTGGCGACACAGTGAGTTGGAGGTCAACCTAATGTACATGAGACCCTGGTTCAATGCTTTCTCTTACTTAAAAAAAAATTTTATATATATATATATATATATATATATATATATATATATATATATATATATTCTCTCTCTCTCTCTCTCTCTCTCTCTCTCTCTCTCTATTCTTTTCCTTCTCTCCCTGTCCCCAAGTCCTGACCACAACTGGCAGCCTGTGTACACATGGCCCTATACACCCATGGGTTTACACTGGCCCTCAGGTCTGACCCTTGTTCTATCCTAGAGTTCCTCTATAGCTCCCTTGACTACCTCTTTCCCAGGCAGAGTCCTTCTAACCTCCTCTGCCCAATCAGAATGGCTCTCCCTTACAAACACTTTCCTAGGGCCTTGCCCCTGAGGATAGAGCCATTGTGATCCCTGCAGACGGGGATCTCGGTGAGAGCTTCATCCTTAGCTGAACCTTCAAAGGGCAGAGTCGGGGCCAGGCCTGGAAGGTCTATTTAGAATAGTCCCTGCAGCCTGTGGTCCAGCCTTGGGAAGGGAGAAGGACCCCCAAAGCCTCCTGCCTGCCTGCTAGTCCTGCTTCCTGATGGGTACAGTGGTACCCTCACACCTCCACCTTTCCTCCTCAGAAGCTGGACCTGGAACGGGAGACCATCGAGCTGGTACACACGGAACCCACAAGTGTGGTCCAGCTGCCCTCGCGGGTTCCCCGAGATGCTGCGCGTTACCACTTCTTCCTGTATAAGCACACCCATGAGGGTGACACCCTTGAATCTGTGGGTGAGTAGCTATGACAGGGACCTGAATTCTGTGACGGTCAGGAGCAGCAATGACAAGCCACTGCTTGGGTCTGCTAAGGGGGTAGAGGTGTGTAGGTGCCCCAGCCAGCATGGGCTCACCTCCTCGTCCTCTACAGTGTTCATCTACTCCATGCCGGGTTACAAGTGCAGCATTAAAGAGCGCATGCTCTACTCCAGCTGCAAGAGCCGCCTCCTCGACTCCGTAGAGCAAGACTTCCAGCTGGAGATAGCTAAGAAGGTATAGGCTGTCCCCAGGGCCCTTCACCCCACTCTCCACGTGGGACACCGGAGTCCTAAGTCCATGTGGGGTTCATTGCTACAATATTGTGTGGGTGGGGAGCCAAGATCTGGGACAACCTAAGACACACGCAAGCCCAAGCCATGACCGCCTTGACACCTCCTTTCCCTAGGTCTTGGGGGCCTGGGAGAAGGTGACTTAGACCAGCAGGGTAACAGCCTACTTTATATATTCTGTGGTGACCTAAGAGAAGATAGGTATCAGGGGTGACCCTAGGAGTGAGACATGCCAAGAGTGGCGTATGTTGGGTCCTCAGCACAGTGATGGCTTCGGTCTTGATCCGTGCAGATTGAGATTGGCGATGGGACAGAACTGACAGCCGAGTTCCTCTACGATGAGGTGCATCCCAAGCAGCATGCCTTCAAGCAGGCATTCGCCAAGCCCAAAGGCCCCGGGGGCAAGCGGGGCCATAAGCGCCTCATCCGGGGTCCCGGCGAGAATGGAGACGACAGCTAGGTGTCTGAGCTGCAGGGTTGCCACCCCACCAGTCCTGCTCCTCCTTCCTCCCCAGCCTGGGCTCTAAGGAATCGCATCCTGTGGGACAGGAGAGCAGGTGGATGAACACATTTGCTACTTTCCAGGGCCTTTGGACCAGTACTTCGTGACCCTGCTCTGTGCCGGTCCTTCCTCTCATCTGTGTGCACAGGGTGGCTGGGGAACCCTACCCGACTCTTTCAAGGGGTCTGAGTGGGGAGCCGGGCATGAACCTAGCCTCCAGAGCTGATGCTATGGTTCCCGCTCAGTCCAGAATTCTTTAGCCACAGAGGGTAGGGACGGTTGGCGGGGGCCAGATGTCACAGGAAGGGATGGTTGAACGCTGTATTTTCTAAAGAATAAAATATTTTTAAATCAATACTTAGCCTGATCCTGTGAGCTGGATGCCTCTCACTATTCAGAAGGGGCTTGCTGACCTGGCCTTAGCTGTATGGGAGATGCTTTGAACCCTACCTGTGAGGCCCTCACACTTTCATGGGGTTATGGCGATCTGGGTGTCTCTGTTTCCTGTGGGTGCTGTGATGAGTTACCATAAACTCAGTGGCTTAAAAAAAGAGGTAGCTTGAGCCCGACATAGCAACATCCTGTAAGAAAAGAAAAAAAGAAAAGAAGCCCTTGCCCATCTGTTCATACAGATCTGGAAACCAGACGAGCCTAAGGCCATGGTGCAGACAGCTGGCTTTTGGCAGGGTTAGCCGTGTCCTCAGCTCTGAACTTGAACCCCATTCGGCTGCTCTGTGCGTCCGTCTGTAGTCAGATCTCTCCAACTTTACCTTTTCTTGTTAATACTTTAGTGTTTTGTTTTGAGACAGGGTCTTCCTGCCTCGGCCTCCCTAATGCTGGCATTCCCTGTGTGCATCAGCATCCCTGGCTTTGTCTCTGTTTTACTCTTTCGTCGGGTGGATTTTTGAGACAGAACCTCATGTAGCCCAGGCTGGCCTCAAGTTGGCTATATAGCTGAGGATGATCTTGAACCTCTGTAGGCAGGCATCAGTGTGCCTGGTGTATGGGGTGTCGGATCAAATCCAAGACCATGTGAACGCTGCTAAGCAAGTGGTGTGCCGGCCGAGCCACAGCCACAGTCGCTGGTTCTGCTTTGTGATGAACACTCCCCCCTTGGCTTCCTGTCCCCACTTACCCTGACAGTAATGTAGGATTGGGGGAATTAGGAGATGGATCCCTTCGAAAGCACTGTTTGTTTTTTTGAGACAGAATCTTAACTATGTAGCCCTGGCTGGCCTGGAGCTTTGCTATGTAAACCAGACTGGCCTCAAAAATCACAGAGACCCACCTGCCTCTTGCCTCCTGAGTGCTGGGAGTGCGTGTACCTGGCTCCAACGAGGACAATGTTGATCCCACCGCCCTGGATGAGGGCTCTCTGACTGGGTTTTCATGGCACTGAGACCATAATGGGTATCCCAAAGACCTGTGTCATGGATTCTCCAGTCCTATGTGTCCTTGACCTGCTTTGCTAGTCCCAAGGATGCAGGGTGGTGAGTGGAAGTGAACAACTTACTCTGAGGCCCCTTGGCCTCTGGGAAAATGCCCAAGTTAGATACTTGGCAGATGCCAGGGGTCAGTCTGTGCCTCTGCAGAGTGGGTAGATACCTCCTGTCCCAGGAGAAGAGGATGCTAAGTGGACACTGTCTTTTCTCCTGGCTCAGGGCATTGTCCCATTGTGGGGGCCCTTTTCAACCCCCATTAAAGTCCCTAGGATTATGGACAGAAAAGCTGGGACCCTGGCAGAGACTCAGCCCCAAATACTGGCTCTCAGGGAGGCAAGAAGAAAACTCCATGGCTCCCAAGCTGCCAGGCCAGCTGGATCACTTGCACTTTGGGTCCTGCCTGCTGTGAGACCCACCCTGATGAGGGTGTGGGGGGGAGCCAGGAGACTGAAGTAGAACCCTATCCCTTTCAGGAGAATGACCATTCTTTCATGCTCTCGTCCATTCATTCATTTATTCAAACTTTACTCAAAGATACCCCCACTGCCAAAGCTGAGCGCCGTGGGCAGGGTATAGTTTCAGCAGATATTGAGCAGTGCCACAGATACAGATGGAAGTTCTTGTCCTCCAGAAGTCAACACACAGGAGCTGGGAATTTAGCTCAGTGGCAGAGTGCTTGCCTAGCAAGGGCAAGGCCCTAAATTCGGTCCTTAGCTTGGGGCGGGGTGGGAGTCAACATTCCAGCAGGAGTCATTATCCAGCAAAGCAGGAAGGGTGGGTAGCGTGGTGTAGTAGCGTTTCAAAACTGGCTCATCAGTTATAAGCACTGGCTGCTCTTACAGAGGACTGGGGTTCAATTCCCAGCACCCACATGGCAGCTTACAACTGTCTGTAACTCCAGTTCCAGGGGATTGGACACTATATTCTGGCCTTAGAAGGTATTGTCTGCACTTGGCCCACAGTTATGCAGACAAAAAAAAAATACAATAAAATAAATAAATACAACAAATCATAACAGTGGCAAAACTATAGTTATGAAGTAGCAATGAAATAGAAAAAACACTGAAAACACATGCAAAGAGGAAATCAGCAGGCCACAATGCTCAGGAGAGCAAGGCCTGGGCTGATAGCTTTACTTACTTTTGTCTGTATTTCTTTTGAGTCAGGGTCTCACTATGTATGCCTTGAGCTCTCGTTCTCCTGCTAGAAGAATCGGTGTGTAGCTGAGCTGAGAGGTCCAGGAGAAGGTCAGGGAAGGTCCCGTGGGAAAGTAGGATGATATGAGCAGTGTGTAAAGGCCGAAGGCAAACTGGACCATGTGGGGAATCTGGGAAAAAAGAGTGTCCAGGCAGGGCGCTGATGCTGGTGGCACACATCTTTAATCCCAGCACTTGAGAGTCAGAGGAGGGCACAACTCAGTGAGTAGGAGGCCAGCCTGGTCTACAGATCTACAGAGCCAGTTCCAGGACAGCCAGGACTGTTACACAGAGAAACCCTGTCTCAAAAAAAAAAAAAAGTGTTCAGGCAGAGGGAAGTGTATGTTGAAAGTCCCCGAAGCTAGAAAATGCACAGCTATGTACAAACAATGAGAAGCCAGTGTGGCTGTCAGAAGATCGGGGGAAAATGAAGGACACAGAGCATAGGACCTTGGCTACTGTTTGAACAGTGACTAGGACTCCAGACAGCTATGGAGGGATCTGGGCAGAGAAGGGACCCAGAATGAAAGTTTTGGACACAGAGGCTGGAAAGATGGCTCATCAGTTAAGAGCATCCAGCAGTAACTTTTCCAGAAGACCTGGGTTCGATTCCCAGCACACAGCTGTGGATAGTACCAGTTGCAGAAGATCTGATATGCTCTTCTGACCTCCTCAGACACTAGGCATGCAAGTGGTGCACAGATAAACATGCAGACAACACATATACATGGATGCACATATATATGAATACATATATACAAGTATACACATATATATGCACTGTATTGTATATGCATATAGATATAAATGGGGAGAGATAGATATAAATGGGGAGAGAGAGAGAGAGAGAGATTTGAATAGGCCTTTCCAGGGGCTCAACCTGAATAGGCTGCAGGGGATGAGAGCAGGACCAGGGTGATGCTAGAGATGATGTCAGCTCATGCAGGCAGATAGATATGCAGGCTGCAAGCAGTGGGCAGCTTCTAAAGGGAAAGTATTAGGGATTAAGGTTTCTCCAGGGTTATTAGGGCTTGGGAATTGAAAAATCAGAGTTCCAGTCACTTGGGCCAAAGGAAAGAGTGAAGAGTTGTGTCGTTAGTGTTGTGTGGCCTTTTCCTCCCAGGGAGGTGGACCACTCATTCCATCCTTCAGTGAAGCGCCTTAAAATTCAGGATGTAAATGACTGAAAAGCTTCAGGAAGTCCTTGATAGATGCACTAGACCCTCCCTCCCCAAGCTTGTACTGGGAGGCACTCTGGGGCCGGGGGCTGCTCGAAAGAATCAGAAACCAGCTGAGCTGCCTGGAAAAAGCTCAGAATAACTGAGTTGCCTAGAAATTTCACTCTCCAACATTTTGAGGTGGGAGCAAGTTGTGCCATGAGCTCTGGGTTTCCAGCTTTTGTGGCATCCGTGACCTACGCTGGGGTGAGCTTCTGGCAGTGCAACTGTCTTTGAGTCATTTCTGCTCCTTTAAGTAGCCCCTCATCCATACTTCTGCCAGTAACTCCAATGAAACTCATTGGATAACCAACTTGGACTTCAGTGGTGTCCTCGGGTTTGGTCTGTCATTGGCTCCCTCCCTTGGGTGAGTACATATTTGTATGCGTCTCCCCAGGAACAGTGTCACACAACCGCAAGATCAGCCAGTTCTAGTTTACCAGCTACTGAAGTCTGGGGACTGGAGTCTGATGGAGCACTGAGTGGGAGACACTGTTCCCGGAAGAGATGTGAAGGCTGCTGCAGTGGAAAAGGCAGGTGTCGGCTCCAGCCTCTGGTTCACAGAGGCTCCATAGCATTCTGGGGATGGAGCAGGTGGGCGAGCCTGTCCTCTGAGAACCATGGGGCAAGCACTGGGGCTTGAGGGTGAGGTGACACCCTCCTCATGGGGGTCAGCGCTCTGCCAAACTCTGGTGCTACCTTAGATTCTGGTTTCTCATTGACCTTGGGCAGGACTCTGGGCTTTAGTCCTAACCACACCTCTCGGGGGACAGATGTGAAGCCCTTATGATTGACTGTGGGGCGAGGAAGAGAATGGAAAGAGGAAGGGGTGAAGAGGACTGGCTGCCTGCCATCTGACTATGCAAATGTCCTGTGACTCATTGTACCACCTGCCCTCCCCTGGTAGGGATAAAGTATCTATTAAGCTGTAGCGAAAGTGTCACTTCCCCATTTCTAGAAGGGACCCTGGTCGAGCATCGCTCTCTGCTGCCAAGCTCGTCAGACAGAGCCTCTGGAGGACCCTCTGTTTCCCAGCATGGTAGGACTCCAGTTCTTTGCTCCCAGGGGAGGGGTGTCATGGGAAGGGATGATGTTCGGGGCAACAGTGGAAAGGACAGTCCACTCAGTGCCCCTGGGATATTCGTGGACCCCTAAGGAAATTGGAGCAAAAGCTGAGCAGAGAGGGCTGAACCTGCTAGGTGGGTAGGGAGGCTGAAGTCCTGGACTGCGGTCAGTGGTGATGCCCGGTCTCCTCACCGCAGACCTCAGCCTTTTGATTCTCGGCAGGTTGAGGGTTCTCAATTCAGACTGGGGAAGAAGATGAAGGGTAAGAAGAGCTAGGAAGCAGCAATGAGGAGCCAGCCTCCACCTCAGGGGGTTCAGTCCTCCCTGCACTTTGGCCAAGCAGAGGCCAGGGGGCTAGAGGAGCAAGGCCTCAGGGAAGCTGGAGGAACAGAGCCCAGGCAGCCGCTCTGTTCAGCAGAAGAGAGCAAAGGCCTCAGGAGAGAGGAAGAGAAAGTGTGAGGGGCCCAGTGGGACTGTTCTGGAGTCTGTCCTCTGGCCCTGCTATGGGTTGTGTTCTGAGAGAAAGCTCCAAGTCTGAGATCTGGATTCCAGGCCAGTCCTGGTTCTGTGTCCCAGCCCTGACTCAGTGGCTGAGCCCAAAACCAAGTAGCTGTCCTGAGTGGACTGGAAGGAGGCTGGAGGGTGGGGCACTCGGAGAATACCTGGAAGCAAGCCCTAAGAAAGCCCCAGTGAGGAAGGGAGGGTAGGAGAGGGCAGGACAACACTAGATACTCACCCAGTCCTGGCTCTCACAGGTTCTCTGTGGCAGGACTCTGCACCCCTTGTCCCTCCTAATGCAAGCTGCCCTGCTGGCTGGGGCTCTGGCCCTGGGCACCCTGCCTGCCTTCCTGCCCTGTGAGCTGAAGTCTCGTGGCCTGGTAGACTGCAACTGGCTGTTCCTGAAATCCGTGCCTCACTTCTCTGCAGCAACACCCCGTTCCAACATCACCAGCCTTTCCTTGATCTCCAACCGCATCCACCACCTGCACAACGCCGACTTTGCCCACTTTCCCAACCTGCGGCAGCTGAACCTCAAATGGAACTGCCCGCCCACTGGCCTCAGCCCCATGCATTTCCCTTGCCACATGACCATCGAGCCCAACACCTTCCGGGCAGTGCGTACACTGGAAGAGCTGAACCTGAGCTACAATGGCATCACCACAGTACCCCCTCTGCCCAGCTCCCTAATGAACCTGAGCCTGAGCCACACCAACATCCTGGTACTAGATCCTGACAGCTTCACCGACCTGTACAACCTTCGCTTTCTCTTCATGGATGGGAATTGTTACTACAAGAACCCCTGCAGCGGGGCAGTGAATGTGACTCCAGGTGCACTCCTGGGCCTGAGTAACCTCACCCATTTGTCTCTCAAGTATAACAGCCTCACGAAGGTGCCCCGCCAACTGCCCCCCAGCCTGGAGTACCTACTGGTGTCCTATAACCACATTGTCAAGCTGGCACCGGAAGATCTAGCCAATCTGACGTCCCTGCGCGTACTTGATGTGGGTGGGAACTGTCGCCGCTGTGACCATGCCTTCAGCCCCTGTGTAGAATGCGGACAAGAGTCCCTCCAGCTGCACCCTGAGACCTTCCATCACTTGCGCCACCTTGAAGGCCTGGTGCTGAAGGACAATTCTCTCCACACACTGAACAACTCCTGGTTCCAAGGGCTAGTCAACCTCTCAGTACTGGACCTAAGTGAAAACTTTCTTTATGACTGTATTACCAAGACCCAGGCCTTTCAGAACCTGACAAGGCTGCGCAAGCTTGACCTGTCCTTCAATTACTGCAAGAAGGTATCATTTGCCAAGCGCCACCTGGCAAAATCCTTCGGGAGCCTGGTGTCACTGCAAGAGCTGAACCTGAACGGCATCTTCTTCCGCCTGCTCAACAAGGCCACACTCAAGTGGCTGGTCCATTTGCGCCACCTTCATACTCTGCACCTTCAAACGAACTTCATTAATGAGGCCCAGCTCAGCATCTTTGGTATCTTCCCAAACCTTCACTTTGTGGACCTGTCAGATAACCGCATCAGTGGGTCTTTGAAAATGTCAGCAACTACCCTCAAAGAGGCAGATGATGGGGAGCAAGAGAGTCTGAAGTCTGGGGTTCTTGCCCCAGCCCTGCTGAGCACCCCTGGTCCTAAGAACTTCATGGTCAGGTGCAGGAGCCTCAAATTTACTTTGGACCTGTCTCGGAACAACCTGGTGGCAGTCCAGCCACAGATGTTTTCCAACCTCTCTCATCTCCAGTGCTTAAGCCTGAGCCACAACTGCATTTCACAGGCTGTCAACGGCTCTCAGTTCCTGCCGCTGACCAATCTGCAGGTGCTGGACCTGTCCCATAACAAGCTGGACTTGTACCATGGGCACTCATTCACTGAACTCCCACAATTACAGGCCCTGGACCTAAGCTACAACAACCAGCCCTTCAGCATGCAGGGTATCGGCCACAACTTTAGTTTTGTGACCCGTCTGCCCATGCTGAACTACCTCAGCCTGGCACACAATAACATTCACAGCCGTGTGTCCTCACAACTTCACAGCACCTCATTGGAGATCCTGGACTTCAGTGGCAATGCTTTAGGCCTCATGTGGGATGTGGGGGACCTTTACCTTCAATTCTTCCGAGGTCTCAGACACCTGAAGCAGCTGGACCTGTCTCAGAACCGCCTGCATATCCTCCGGGCCCAGAACCTCGACAACCTTCCCAAAAGCCTAAGGAACCTGAATCTCCGTGACAATTACCTGTCTTTCTTTAACTGGAGCAGTCTGGCCTTCCTGCCCAAGCTGGAAGTCCTGGACCTGGCAGGAAACCAACTAAAGGCCCTGGCCAATGGTACCCTGCCTAATGGCACCCAGCTCCAGAAGCTGGATGTCAGCGGCAATAATATTGTTTCTGTGGTTCCAGCCTTCTTTGCTCTGGCCTTGAAGCTCAAAGAGGTCAACCTCAGCGACAACATCCTCAAGACAGTGGATCGCTCCTGGTTTGGGTCCATAGTGGTGAACTTGACAATGCTAGACGTGAGAAGTAACCCCCTGCACTGTGCCTGTGGGGCGGCCTTCGTGGACCTCCTGCTGGAGGTGCAGACCAAGGTGCCTGGCCTGCCTAATCAGGTAAGGTGTGGCAGTCCCCGCCAGTTGCAGGACCGAAGCATCTTCGCGCAGGACCTGCGGCTGTGCCTGGATGAGGTCCTCTCCTGGGATTGTTTTGGCCTTTCACTGTTGGCTGTGGCTGTGGGCATAGCAGTGCCATTACTACAGCATCTCTGCGGCTGGGACGTCTGGTACTGCTTCCACCTGTGCCTGGCATGGCTACCTTTGCTGGCCTGGGGCCGGCGCGGCGCCCAAGCCCTTCCCTACGATGCCTTCGTAGTGTTCGATAAGGCGCAGGGCGCGGTTGCCGACTGGGTGTATAACGAGCTGCGGGTGCGCCTAGAGGAGCGGCGCGGGCGCCGAGCCCTGCGCCTGTGCCTGGAGGACCGGGATTGGCTGCCCGGCCAGACGCTCTTCGAGAACCTCTGGGCCTCCATCTATGGCAGCCGCAAGACGCTGTTTGTGCTGGCCCACACGGACCGGGTCAGTGGCCTCCTACGCACCAGCTTCCTGCTGGCTCAACAGCGCCTGCTGGAGGACCGCAAGGACGTGGTGGTGTTGGTGATCCTGCGCCCGGATGCCCACCGCTCCCGCTACGTGCGCCTCCGCCAGCGCCTCTGCCGCCAGAGTGTGCTCTTCTGGCCCCAGCAGCCTAGCGGTCAGGGCAGCTTCTGGGCTCAGCTGAGCACAGCCCTGACTAGGGACAACCGCCACTTCTATAACCGGAACTTCTGCCGGGGACCGACAGCAGAATAGCTCAGAGCAATGGGAACAACTGCACCTTCACCGCCTGGCCACCTGGGTTGCTCTGCCTGCCTTGCTCTGTTCTGCTTTACTCCACGCGTATCTAGCAGGTGCTCAATATATGCTGTGTGATGTGGGTTGGAGGAGAGATGGGAACATTCTCCATATATCCACAAAGACGGAGAAGATAGGTTAAAAAAAAAAAAAAAAAAAAACCCACAGCAAAGGTTGCCTGTGAAGGGCAGTTTTCTTCCCAGGCATCTTTCAGTAGGATCTGAAGATAGTCATCAAATGTGGAGTGATCCTTCCCAGAGAACAGGACCGGGCCTGACTTTTTTTTAAGCTGTTGTCGGAATGCCCTGCACCTTACTGTCTGTCTTGTATTATTCAGGGGTATAGGCCTCTCTCCCCTACTGGCCTGTTTTGAGGGCAGAGAAGATACAGGCCTAGTTTCTCTCTGGCCCTCAGCAAAGTCTTGAGGACACTCCCAAGCAGGGCAGTGTTCATTAGTAAGTGCATAGGAAAAGAGGGATGTCTGCACCCTCTGGTGGCCGTGCCTAGGCTGGACCAAGGCCAGCCTTGACTAGAGTCCTGCCAGTGCCAGTAACAGCAAGGAGTTGAGTGAGAGAAGATGAAAAATGTGTTCATCCTGTGTGTGTGTGTGTGTGCGTGCACGCGTGCGTGCAGTACATGTATGTGTGAGGATGCACGTTATGTATGAGGGTCCGAGGACACATGTGCATGTAGGGGGGCCAGAGATCAACCTCACATGTCATTCTTCTGGTGCTATACATTTTGGTTTTTGAGACAGAGTCTCTCATTGACCCAGAGCTCGTCAATTAGTCTATATTAACAGGCCAGAGAGTCCCAACCATCCACCCTTTCCAGCTTCCCAGCCCAGGGATTATAAAGCCATGCACCACCCCTAGATTTTTCACATGGGTTTGGGGGTTCAAATTCATGTTGTGATGCTTGCATGGCCAGCATTTTACAGACAGAGCTATCTACCCAGCCCTGTGTCCTCCCTTTTGACATCATAACAAACACAGCCACCTACATAGTTCACATTTGAGATCTGTGTGATGACTTAAAAAACAAAACAAATCATGCCAAAAATAACAAAAGAAATTCAGTGGATAGTTTTGTGTCAGGCTACATTCACAGCTATCCTGGGGTACATCAGTACATGGATCACAGATTGAACACACCCATTAAGATAAACTCATGGGGCTGGAGAGATGGCTCAGTGGTTAAGAGCATTGACTGCTCTTCCAAAGGATCTAGGTTCAATTCCCAGCACCCACATGGCAGCTCAGAACTGTTTGTAACTCCAGTTCCAAAGACTCTGAAACCTTCCCACAGATATCAATGCATATAAAAATAAAATTTTTAAAAAGGTAAACTCATAATCCATTCCTTCCCACGTTCAGCTAGAGGGTCATGCTGGGTGACTTTTCAGATATTAAAAGATACTTAAGATGAGGTGCTACCTGGGTACAAAGGGGAGTGGCCTCTTCCATGTGCCAGTCTCTCAGACCTGCTCAAACTTAGGCTGAGGCCTAGTCACATCTGATCAAGATGGAATATATACATATCTTCCTTTTCTTCTTCTTCTTCTTCTTCTTCTTCTTCTTCTTCTTCTTCTTCTTCTTCTTCTTCTTCTTCTTCTTCTTCTTCTTCTTCTTCTTCTTCTTCTTCTTCTTCTTCTTCTTCTTCTTCTTCTTCTTCTTCTTCTTCTTCTTCTTCTTTTAAGACAGGTTTTCCCTGTGTAGCTCCTAGAACTCATTATATTGACCAGGCTGGCCTCCAACTCAGAGATCTGCCTGCCTTTACCTGAGATTAAAGGCATGCCCTACCACTTCCCAGCTTTCTTTTTTTCTTTCTTTCTTTCTTTCTTTCTTTCTTTCTTTTTTTTTTTTTTTTTTTTTTTTTTTTTAAAGCCAGGCAGAGTCTCACTACATAACCCTGGATAGCCTGGAACTCTGTGTAGACCAGGCTGGGCTGGGACTCATAGAGATCCACTTGCTTCTGCCTCCCAAGTGCTGGGATTAAAGATGTGTACTACCACACTCACATATTTATTTTTAATTTTAAAGTTGCATTTATTTCATATGTATGTGTGGGGGTGAGTGAGTGCCATGACTGACTTGTGGAGGCCAGAGGACAAAGGAGTCAGTTCTCTCCTTCCATCATGTGTAGCCCAGAGATGGAAGATGTAAGTTCCAGGAGAGATCTGCTGCAAGTCAGTCATTGTGCAGAAGTTGGAATGTTGCAGGTCCAGAAACTCATTACAATTTATCTTGGGCTACAGTTCTAACAAATTACAACTTATCTTAGCCTTCTGACTGGCCATTCCTTGCCTGGACTCTATCTAACCAAACAGATAAATGTGTTCATCCAACAGAAACAATTTCTCCCCACCAACCAAAGGGTAAGGATGCTGTCAGATAGCAACTAGGTCTATGGCTGAGGTACACCTGCCCCCTACTTTGCTTGAATCCACCTTCTTAATGTATCCACCAGTGTATTTAAAATGTACCTCAATTTGCAGAGTTTGTTTTATACTTTGTAGCTTTGAAGCTTTGTAGACTGGGCTGGCCTCTGCCTCCAGAGTGTTGGGATTAAGGTGTGCAAAACCACTGCCCAACTTTTTTTTTTTTTTTTTTTTTTTTTATTTTCAATACAAGGTTTCTCTGTGTAGCCCTGGCTGTCCTGGAACTCACTCTGTAGACCAGGCTGGCCTCGAACTCACAGAGATCCAACTGCCTCTGCCTCCCGAGTGCTGAGATTAAAGGTGTGTGCCATTATGCCTGGCTTTCACTTGTGGTTTTCTTTGTTCTGTTATTATAAAAACTTAATCAAACTGTTACCACATTGGAATATGGGATTTTAAGTAACCTAAATCTGTGTTCCCAGATCATGTTCACACATATTTGGCTCCGGAATAAACTATCTCTTATCCCCTTCAATTGAGAGTTGTATTTTTGTGTCAACAGAGACAAGGGCTTTACCTAGATGAGTCTTTTAACTGACCACTAAATAGTTTTATTATGTTAATGTGTTTGTTTATTGTGCCAGCATTTACCCACTGAACTGTCTGATTGCCTGTGTTTCTCTTTCTTTCTTTCTTCCTTCCTTCCTTCTTTCCTTCTTCCCTCCTTCCTTCCTTCTTTCCTTTCTTCCTTTCTTCCTTCTTGTCTGTATTTTTCAGTCAGGAGCCCACTACCTATCTCTGGCTGTCCTAGAACTTGCTACATAGACCATGCTGGCCTCTAACTTACAAATATCACCTGTTTCTGCCTCCTGAATCCCAGAATTAAAGGTGTAGACCACCACTCCCAGGTCTGTATTTTTAATATTTTAGGTGCAGTGTAGACTTCAGAATGCAGCCCGTGTCAGTGGATCAGGTCTGTATTTAACAAGTTCATTGAACTTGTGGGTACTGTTGTACCTGGAGCCTTCAACCTGATATACACACACACACACACCACACACCACACCACACCACCCCGGTCTTTATCACCACAACCAAACCCAGACTTTAAGGAGCAGAGAACACACAGCCCCACAGAGTTGGGGTCTGGAGGGGTGGAGGAGGACTGAACCAGTTTGTCAGGCTTAGGCCAGGGGCCACTCAGGGCCTGCTATTTGAGGGTGGGGAAGAGCATTGGAGCTAGCCACAAACTGCTGATTTTGCAACCTTATTGCCAGCTGCCTTGTCCCCCCCCCCTCCTGCATCCCCAGGGCATAGCCATGAAGGAGTACAGGCCACCTTCCTCGTGTGTGTGTGTGTGTGTGTGTGTGTGTGTGTGTGTTTGTGTGTTTGTGTGTGTGTGTGTGTGTGTGTTACTGTTGTCTGAACCCAAGGCCTTATATATGCTAGTACTTTGCCACTGGGTTCTAACTTCTTTCTGACTTAAACATAGGGGCTTCTGCCATGATGTTCCCTCTTAGTTACTCAAATGAAAGACAGGACAGTCCCTGACCTATGAAGTCCCATGCAGGTTCTGATCTGGATGGCCTGGGGGGGGGGGGGGACAAAACAAGTGCATTCCTAAGCAGCCTGAAAGCCTGGGGGAAGTCCCTGTTGAGTGGCTTTGAGACTGAGTCAGAAGTAGGAAGCCAGGCTCCTGCCCAGGGCCTTGTTTATCTTCCAGGCCAGCAAGGCTGCTGTCTGGCAGTTCCAGGTAGGACATGTGTCTACTCACTTGCCTGTCGGGCTCACATGTAGCTCTTAGCAGGCTGGGAGACGGGAGGGGCAGAGCGATACCAAATGAAGTTGGGTGAGAACCAATTCGGCCGTGCTGTGGTTAAAAAGGGAGTTTCAGGGTGGCTTCCGGCCCTCTCCTCCATACTGTCATTGGCTGAGCCACATCAAGAGAGAGATAGAACCTTGGTCAGGTTGCCAGGGGCTGCACCCTGGCTTTGCTGTTTGGGTTATCTTGGGCAGGTGACCTTCATTTTGGAAGCTTCAGTTTGCTCATCTCTGAAGAGATTGGCCAGAGCTATTCTTCCGGCTGTTGATATGTGATATGGCAGTTTCAGGACTGATGCCTGGAACCATCAACTGACAAGGCTCCAATGTTTTCCTTTCTACCAAGAGAATGACATTCCTGGCCAGGAGCCCCTGCCCAGGTCACTGACAAGGACTGAAGGAGTTCACTGGAGGTGTGGAAGTTGTCTGTGGGAGAATCTGGGCCTTGGTGTTGCCTCCTCATGCTGGGGAGCAGCGAGGACCGAACAACTGAATTACAGGCACAAAACAGGAAAAGTTGATAAGAGGAAAATGTTAACTTGAGGAAAGTCAGTATGCTAAGATTTATAATGAGAAAAACAAAAAGACCCCAACTAAGCAAAGAACCCCTGACTATAGGCTATGGGACAGGAAGCCACCAGCATTTCCCACAAGAAAAGGGGAGCCTGAGCTCATCACTAACTGTGTAAACATCACTCCCCACCTCACTATCTCTTAAGAAAACTGGGAACCAGGTAGCTCGCACCCTGCTATCATTAATCCCCAAGATGTCCTTAAAGAAACAGGGAACTAGATAATCTCTCCCAGACCCCAGGATGTGTTAATCAACCCTGCCTGAGCAGAGGTTGCTAAATACCCTTTGTCTCTCAATTACCTTGTATGGAAACTTTGTAACCTTGTGCACTAAGAA